GTTATTTAATGTCCTACCTACACACCACCTTGTTTTCTTAGGCAATTTTGTTAATTTTTTTATTTGTGAAACACATATCAGAAAATGCCTCTAGGGTGGGGGTAGAGCTCAGTGGTACAGTGCATGCTTGGCGTGCATGAGGTCCTGGGTTTAATCCCCAGTGCCTCCGTTAAGGGGGAAAAATTTTTTTTAATTAAAATAAATTTAAAAAAGAAAGAAGGAAACTGCCTTTATTGCTTAAAGAAGCATGCTGAAATAAACAAAGACAAAATGTCATGTCTGTAAATTACTTAAAATATTTCAGTAAATGCCTAAAGTTTGCTTTAAAATAACTCAGGTTTGTTTTTTTTTGAGGGGGAATTAAGGAGAATATAGATGAAATAAGAATAAACATATTTTGATAATCCCTGGAGCTGGGTAATGGGTACATACGGATTCACTAGACTACTCCCTTCACTTCTATGGATGTTTGAAACTTCTACAATAAACAATTATTTTTCTGAAAATTACATGGTGTAAACATAGCAAAATGTTAACAGCTGTAATATCAAAGTGATAGCACATTGTTATCCTAGTTGCTCTGTAAGTTTTCCTGTAAGTTTGAAAAGGTTTGTAAGAGTCAAACAAGAAAAAGTAACCTAAAATTGGGACCAAAAATAGAATTTGCATATACAATTCAAAGCTCAGAATTCATTAAAGTCAATAGGGAGTGAATAACCCAGCTCCTCTTCCCCTCAAAACACTCAAGTATTATTAGGAGTCCCTCACTGTAGAAAGTTCTCACCTACCTAGTGCGTGAATTCTTTGTAAATGTTGGCATCTTTTCTTCCCAGTTAGGGGGCCCCTGGATTCATTCCCACAACAAGGAAGAACAGAGCCTCACACAGAATTCACTGCACGTCTCCCAAGACTTTTGGTCTCTGGGGACAAACAGGAAAGGAAACCTAGTCCCTGGCTTGAAAAAGCTCTAGGGCCCCAATCTTGAAGATGTGCCAGGTCATCTCCAACAAAGGACAGACACAAAGACGGGAGTACACGAAGGAAGGAATGAGCAAATACACCAATTAACAAACTCCACTAAAACCCAGTCTCTTCATTCAAAGCTCAGGGCCCTGGCATTAAATACCATTTATTTGCTAATTTCTATTTCAATTTCAAACTGTTCTCCCCCACCCCTAAGTCTCCAGCCAGTTTCCTCTAGGAACCCAACTCCAAAAGTGTCCCCGCCCTTCCCTCAGTCTACAGCCCGTGGTTTGTCCCCTCCTCTTTTCACCGTCCCTGCCCCATCGCGTCCTCCCTCCCACCGTTCACTGGGCTGGATTCCGGTGCACCGTTATCACCCATCATCGCTCACCTGCTCCCGCCTCCCTCCCTTCGTCTCCCACTGGGCAAAACCCCACTGCTGCCAATTCAACCCAACCCTCCAGCTACCCCGGACCGGCACCCGGAGAGCTGAGAGGCACTGGTCCCTGGGGTTCCTTTGGGCTACGGTACAAGCCTCTCCATTTCCCCAGACCACGCAAGTCTCTCGCTCTCCCAGACCGGGTTTCACTCACCCTCACTTGGCTGAGGACAGGGAAGCAGTCGCGAGAAAGACCAGCTCCCGCAGCTTTATCTACCTGTGGTGCCACTGCGCCTGCGCTCACCTGCAGCCTCCCAGCTGTGGGTACCACCTCCCACCCACCTGTGCTCTCATCCAAGGCCAGACCCTCGACCTGTGCACCTGCACACCGGAGCTCCTGCCCCCTCCACCTCCTCAAGCCCCATGCTGTGTTATTGCCTGCATCTTCAACTTCTCTACTTGATCATCCTTTTCAGTTAACAAATCTGCAGTGGTTCCTCCCATCTTAAAAGCAAAATCCAAAAAAACCCAAAAACCTTCTCTTGACCCCCATGCTCCTGCAGCTATTGTCCCTATTCTCTGCTCCCCTTTTCAGAGTCCTAGAAAGAACTGTCCCAAGGCACCGTCTCCAGTCTCTCTCCTCCCATCCCCACGTGAGCCTTCAAGTTCAAGTTTTCCCCCATCACTCAGCTGACCCAGCTCATCAAGGTCATTGGGAGCCTGGGGGCTGCTAAATCCAGAGTGGTTTCTCGCTCCTCATCTCAGCCCGGTCAGCAGCATTAGAAACAACTGACTCCTTGCTCCACTGAAATTCTTCCTTCAAACCACACCCTCACCTCGGCGTCCACTATTTCCTGGATTCCTGTGACGGTTCTTCCTCGGTAACTGTGGTGAGCAGATACGGGCCCCCAAAGATGTCTACAGGCTAATCCTACACCTGTGGGTAGTTACCTTACATGGTGGGAGACTCTGCAGATGCGATGAAGTTAAGGGTTTTGAGATGGGGAGGGTATTTCGGATAATTCAGGTGGGCCCAAAGTAATCACCTACCAGTGATTATAAGTGATCCTTATACGTAGAAGGAGGGGGTTAGAATCAGAGATTTGAAGATACTATGGTGCTGGCTTTGAAGATGGAGGAAGAGGCCATTAGCCAAGGAATGCAGGGGGCCTCTAAAAGCTGGAAAAAGCAAGCAAACTATTTTTCCTGAAAGGCCCCAGAAGGAAAGCCACCAGAAGGTATGCAGCCTTGCCAACACCTCAATTTTAGTGAAACCAATTTTAGACTTCTGTAAGACAATAAAACATGTACTGCTAAAGCCCCTCAGTTTGTGGTAATTTGTTACAGCGGCAACTTACTTTCTGTTGCGGTGCCCAAGGCCCAATCCCTGGGTCTCCTCTGTCCTATTTACACCTACTGCCTTGGAAATCTTATCCTGTTTGACGGCTTAAACATACTCTGTGATGGTGACCCCAAAATGTCTAACTCTGGCTGTGACTTCCCCTCTAAACTCACCGACTCATTATTTCTAGTTTTCTATGCTAATTATCTCTCTCCAGATGTCTCAACATCTCAAACTCAATGGACCAAATCCAAACTCTTAAACACACATACATTTATTCCTCCTCCAATGTTCCCCATCTCAGCCTTGGAAGCTATTTTCACCCAGTTGTGCAGGTCAAAAATCTCAGAGCCTACTATCTACCTATTATTTAACTACCAAACAAGTGACAATACCAAGTGCTGGGGAGGACGTGGAGCAACTGGAACTGTCACACATTTCTGGTGGGAGTGTAAAATAGTCCGGCCCACTGGAAAGTCTAATGGAAAGCTTGGCAGTTTCTCAAACAGCTAAGCATACATTTAGCATATTGACCCGGCAAGCCCATTCCTAGGTATTTACCCAGTGAAATCCTATGTTCACGCAAAAACCAGTAAGCAAATGTTTACAGCAGCAGGTCTACGTATAATCACCAAAAACTGTATAAAAAGAAAGTCTTTCAATGGATGAATGGATGAACAAACTGGTACATCATACGGTGCTTTTAATTGTTGGATAGTAGTCCATTGTAGAATGTTCTCAACTTTGTTTACGCTTACTTGGCCATAAAAAGGAACACTCTAGTGACACGCTACAGGGATGGGGCGGGATCCACGGTTGCCAGGGGGAAGAGTTGACTACAAAGAAGGAGCACCAGGCATCATTTTTAAGGGTGATGGAACTGTTCTCTGCCGTGATTGTGGTGATCACATACGTCATGTTTCAAAATTTACAAAGCTATATACCAAAAAGAGTAAATTTTACTATCTGTAATTTTTTTTTTAATATATAAAAAAATCCGTGGTGGCCACTGACTCAGGTCCCGCTACTGCCATCCTTGGCCTGCTGTACTGGCCCCTCACTCTTTTTCTTCACAGCACGTAGCACAGCCTGACTTTATAAACGAGAATCTGTCTCACCCTCGAGAGCAGTGCTTCGAACAGAACTTTATGCATGACAGAAATGTGCCTCATCTGCATTGTCCAAAAAGGCAGCCCTAGCCATATGTGGCTGCAGAGCATTTGAAAGGCAGCTAGTGCGACTGAGGAGCTGAGTTTTTCATTTGTGTCTAACTTAAATTTCAAGAGCTACATGTGGCTAGTGGCTGCTGTATTAAGTTGTGCAGGACGTAAATCTAAGTTCCATAAAGATTTTGTCTATTTGTTCGGTGATATGGCCACAGGACCGGATACACTGGCCCACACACAGTCCTTTGATTACTAAAAATCGGGGTAACAAAAACATCCCTAACGAATTTAGGGTTTATAAGCAGGATCTTTCAGACCTGGAGACTATGGTAACAAAAAGCAATGTGAAAGGGTCTCTGGTGGTGAATAGTTTGAGGAGGACAGGCCAGGAGGCTCAAGTCTGCATTTCTTCTACTTCACAGAAGCTCACATTTCCTGACCTGTCTGCCCCTCTGGCCCCACCCCACCCCTATGAAATGTTTTACCCATTTTCTCTAAATATGCTACTCTCCCTGATGCTCTGAGGCTTAAAACAGCTCAACATCTTCCCAAAGACAACTAAGGAAGCTGAAACAGGAGCGGGAAAGTGTCTTGTCTGGGGCCACACAGCCGGTCAAGGATGGATACAAGAAACGGAGGGTGCCGGTTCTGAGGACCGACAGGGATTCCTGTTTAAAATATCCCCCACCCGACTCCCAGAATCTCTGCAAATAGAGGGGGAAATCTGCAGAGGATCCTAAGAGATGAAATTAAGACATCTCACTTTATTAACACTCGTCCTTCCTGCCTTTTCCTCATGCCTTCTTCGCAGGCTACCTGGTAAGTCAGAGACTCAAAGGGGCTGAAATGGGGATAGAGGCCAAGGAGTGATGTCCTTAATCCCACTGTCTGCCGTCTCCTCTCACTGATCCCCCTGAGCTTTCAGACGCCAGCTCTCCTTTCCAAATGCTCTTCTCCTGCCAAGTGCCCTCGCCCTTACCCCTGAAGACTCCCTCTCACTTAAGGACCTCAAAATCCTTCTCTCTTCCCTTCCCAAGTTCTAATGGCCTTCCCTCCACCCCGTTGAGCAACAGTAAGCCTGGACCGTTCAGCTACTCTGTCTTGGCCCCTGAAAATTTCTCTATGGCCCCACCTCTTTCCAGGCCTTGGTCCCCTTCTCGCTATCCAGCACACCCCTTCATTGCTCTTCCCTTGGCTCCGCTCCCTCATCAGGCACACACAAGGCCAGACCTCTCCCCAGTTAAAAGTTTCCCTAACTTTCATTAAGACCTTTGCGTAGCCTGAGATCTCACCGTCGACTTCTCCCTGACCTCACCCCCATATTTAATCCGGCCTCCCTCTTAAAGTTGACCCGTCTCCTTCAACCCTTCCCCCGGCTCCACCCACTATTAAACTTTCCCCTTGCCCCACCCCCTTCCAGTCGAGCCCACCTTCCCTGGTCCTTGGAACTTCCGGATGGCCCCGCCCACTGACAGCTTTTCCCTGACCCCGCCCCTCATCCCTCTCTAACCACGCCCCTTCA